CTAAAGTAATGACTCGGGAGGAGAAATCATCAACACAAATATATTCAGTAAAACATATACAATGCTTTTAAGCTATCGACCAGGCATATTCTTTCAGCACAAGACATAGATGTCTCAAATCACACGGTGGATAACAACTAGCGTGCAAGCCAATTCATCAACACGAGACCCCATCAAGTGAGAGTTTTGTGCATTAAACAATCTAAATACAATTTATTTAAGCAAATACACACGAATGTATTTGTATTAGAATACAGTACCACGGGTGGGCATGGAAAACTAGAAAACAACAAATGCAATCAATCTACATTTTTTAAATTTAATTGTGAATTGTACAAAGAAAGGAAAACACAAATACTCAAACAAAGTCACTATGATTGTTTGCCGCTAATGTATTTTATATGTGTTGCGTGGCCCTAGCGGTTTAGAGAAACCTGTCGATGTTTTCTAGCTACGAAAATATAAAAAGTAGCAAGGCATCATTGAATGTGTGATTCATGTCGATAAGAACAAAACATATGCAATCTCAAATAATAAGACTTAATTAAACATTGTTGCATATTTTTTTGGAACTTTCGGAGGGGGACAGGGATCCCTAACACGAGGAAAGAAAATAGTTCCACATACTGGCGTGATCTTTGAGCTTGGCTTTTTTAGCTGATTTGTCCACAAGCTGAAATCAGAGAGAACATTCACTATTACATCATTCGGTGCCAAATCCTACTGACGGAAGACTTCTGCGTTTCTCGTATCCCAGACTTTACAAAGCAACATGAGGGAGACAAAGGATTTTAGTGCATGGGGCAGCCGAGGGGTCGTAGAACCCATCTAGAGATCGCTGATTGGATGGAAAGTGGGCACGATGGCCACCTTTTGCCATATCCAGTTGACAAAGTTGCATTCAAAAGAGAGGTGGTTTCACGATTTCGACACCACGTCACACATTGGGCAGGAGGCGTAGTCGAGAAGGCAAAGATTTTCTGCAATAATGCTTTTATCACCAAGACCACATGCAAGCTTTAGCGTGTAGGCTTTATCGTACGTTGCAATACATTTAGACCCAGAAGCTAGTATCGTCATTGGACCAGAAGAAGTAACGTTTCCCTTTATGTAGGCGCACCCCTCTCCGCCCCCCAATCCCGTGAGAAGGAGAGCCATACATCCCCATATATATATATATATATGTCAAAGATGTCAATGGCTTGAAGACGGATGCGGGCATCATGTGTAGTGATAGAGGAAGACCGAGGTATGTTGCGGAAGGGACACAAACATGTTTTAAGCAAAACTGAAGTAATCACCGGTGAGGAGGAATCAGCATCTTTTAAGCAACCGATCAAGCTTATCCCGCAAAAAACATATATCACGCATCTTTTAAGCAACCGCCAAGCATATCATGTAAGCTAAGATATAGATTTCTCAAATCACGCGGTGGATGACAACCAGCGATCTAGCCAGTTCATCAGCGTGAGACCCCAACAAGCGACGCTCTTGTGCATTAAACAATCCAAACACATTTTCATTCAAGCAAACACATGCAAGCTTGGATTGCAACAAACTAGAAAATTCCAAAATAACAAATGGAATGGAGCCATGCGTTTGAATTCAAGTTTGCACCATGCAAAGGAAAGAAGGTGATGAAAAAGAAAGAGAGAAGAGAAACACAAATGCTCAATCAAGCCACGGTTCATGCCATTTCCTTTCCTTTCCACATGCGTTGCGTGGCCCTAGCGGTTTCGAGAAACCTGTCGTAGCGCCGCACCCACCAGCTAGGGCCGAGCCTTGCCAAAACACAACGCTACGCTCACGCACACGGCCCCCTACCCCTCTCCCCCTCCCTCCCTCGCGGTACGGCCACACGCCGGGGGGCTGGACTGGATTGCGGCGCTGAGTTCGCAATCGCATCGCATCGCATCCATCCCCCGGACTTGGAGAAAATTGTGCCACAGTCTGGCATGATCTTTGAACGTGGCTTTTTTAGCTGATTTGTCCACAAGCTGAAGTAAGAGAGAACACTCACTATTGCATCACCCTCTTCTAAATCCCGTTGACGGAAGACTTTCACGTTTCTCGCATCCCAAACTTTACAAATCTACATGAGCGAGGCAAAAGATTTTAGTGCATGGGGTAGCTGAGGGGTCGCAGAGCCCATCTAGAGAGCGCCAATTTGATGGAAAGCGGGCACAATGACCACCTTTTGCCATATCTAGTTAACAAAGTTGCATTCAAATGAGAGATGGTTTCGCGATTCCGACACCACGTCACACATTGGGTAGGAGTCGTAGTCGAGAAGGTAAATGTTTTGTGCGAGAATGTTTTTAACACCATGACCAGATGCAAGCTTTGGCGTGCGGACTTTATCCTACGTTGCAAGGCATTTAGACCCAGAAGCAAGCATCATCATTGGACCAGAAGAAGTAACGTTTCCCTTTATGTAGGCACAACCCTCTCCATTTTCCCGACCCCGTGAGAAGGATAACAGTCCATCCCCATAGATATATGTCAAAGTTGTCCACCAATGGCTTGAAGACGGATGCAGACATCTTGCGTAGTGATAGAGGAAGACCGAGGTATGTTGCGAAAGGGACACAACCATGTTTTAAGCAAAGCTGAAGCAATCACCAAAGAGGAGAAATCAACAACATGAATCAACCCACAAAAAGCATATATCACACATCTTTTAAGCAACCGATCAAGCATATCCTGTCAAGTCAAGACATAGATTTCTCAAATCACACAGTGGATGACAACCAGCGAGCTAGCCAGTTCATCAATACGAAACTCCAACAAGTAGTAGTCTTGTGCATTAAACAATCTAAACGTGTTTCATTAGCAAACACATATATGCTTGGATTACAATGTAGAAAATTCAGAAATAACAAATGGAGAGGAGCCATGAATTTGTATTTAGGTTTGCACCACACAAAGAAAGGTGAAAAGGAGAGAGAGAAGAGAAACACAAATACTCAAACAAGTCACGGTTCATGCCATTTCCTTTCCACATATGTTGCGTGCCCCTAGCAGTTTAGAGAAACATGTTGATGTTTTCCCGCTACGGAAATCTAAAAAGTAACCAGGCATCATTGAATGTGTGATTCATGCTGATAAGAACAAAACATATGCAACCTCAAATAATAAGATTTGTATAAACAATGTTGCATATTTTTGTTGGAACTTTCGAAGGGGGGCAGGGATCAGTAATATGAGGAAAGAAAATAGTGCCACAGTGTGGCGTGATCTTTGAGCTTGGCTTTTTAGCCGATTTGTCCACAAGCTGAAATAAGAGAAAACATTCACTATTATATCATTCGGTGCTAAATCTTGCTGATGGAAGACTTTCACGTTTTTCGCATCCCAAACTTTACAAAACAACGTGAGCGAGACGAAGGATTTTAGTGCATGGGGTAGCTGAGGGGTCGTAGAGCCCATCCAGGGATCGCTAATTGGACGGAAAGTGGGCCCGATGGCCACCTTTTGCCATATCCAGTTGGCAAAGCTGCATTCAATAGAGATATGGTTTCGCTATTCCGACACCACGTCACACATTGGGTAGGAGTCGTAGTCCAGAAGGCAAAGATTTTGTGCAAGAATGTTTTTAACACCAAAACGACATGCAAGCTTTGGCGTGCAGACTTTATTCTGCGTTGCAAGTCATTTGGCCCCAGAAGCTAGCATCGTCATTGGACCAGAAAAGGTAATGTTTCCCTTTACATAGGCACACCCCTCTCCGCCCCCAACCCCGTCACCAAACCTTGTGCGGTGATAGTATGTTGCGGAAGGGACACAAACATGTTTGAAGCAAAGCTGAAGTAATCACCGCAGAGGAGAAATCAACAACATGAATCTACCCACAGAAACATACATCACACATCTTTTAAGCAACCAATCTAGCTTATCCCGTCAAGCCAAGACATAGATTTCTCAAATCACACGGCGGATGACAACCAGTGAGCTAGCCAGTTCATCAACGCGTGACCCCACCAAGCGGCGGTCTCGTGCATCAAACAATCTAAACACATTTCATTTAGACAAACACATAGTATATGCTTGGATTACAAACATAAATATTTGGAAATAAAAATGGAATGGAGCCATGTGTCTGAATTCAAGTTTGCACCACGTAAAGAAAGAAGGTGAAAAAGAAAAGAGAGAAGAGAAACACAAATTCTCAATCAAGCCACTGTTCATGCCATTTCCTTTTCTTTCCACATGCGGTGCGTGGCCCTAGCGGTTTTAAGAAACCTGTCGTAGCGCCGCACCCACCAGCTAGGGCTGAGCCTTGCCGAAACACAACGCTACGCTCACGCACACGGCCCCCCCTACCCCCTCCCTCCCTCGCGGTACGGCCACGCGCCGGGGGGCTGGACTGGATTGCGGCGCCGCGTTCGCAATCGCATCGCTCGCATCGCATCCATCCCCCGGACCTGGAGGAAATCGCTGAGCAGCCATCACCACCACAAGCGCCGCGCACTCCCCCCGCCCCCTCTCCCCCCTCCACCTCCCACTCGCGGCAGCGCAGGCCCTCCCTCGCTCGTGGGGGCGACGGGGAATCCGCAGTAGGCAGGACAAAGATCGGAATTAGCCACATACCGAGGAGGAAGGAAAGCAGACCCGGGGCAAAAACCCATTTTTTTCTCCTTTCCCTTTCGTTCTTCCTCCCGTCCGTCCGCCCTCACCGTCACCGGTCCCGTCCTCGTCCTTGCGTGCGCCGGCCGTGAGATTGGTGGACGGATAGATAGATTCTGGTGGATGGTAATGCCAACCCCCTGGCGAGTTCTTGCGCCTGGGTGTGCCAATCCGCAGTAGACACTTTTTATATTTTTACCTTTTTTTGTGTTCGTCTATCTATCCATCCATCCATCTTGGCCGGTAACGGAAGAACTGAATCGGAACTAAAACTTGAATTAACCAATCTCCGTCCGTCGCCGCCGCACGGGGAGGAAGGAGTGGGTTTTGATTGGGGGCCGGTGGGTCGGAGCCCGATCGATCGGCGGGCGGCGATGGCGCCGCCGTCCAGGGACGTGGGCTACTGGGTCAACTTCTTCCGGGGAGGCGGCGAGACCATCCTCGACGCCATCGAGGGGGCCATCGACGTCGCCGCGTCCGAGCAGCCCGCAGCCCTCCGCGCCCGGCGCGACGCCATAGCCGAGCGCCTCTACACGGCGCTCCTCCTCGCGTCCTCCGGCGCGCCCACGGCGGCGGCCGCCGCGGCGGCAGCGGCGCGTCCTCAGGCAGGGGCGCCCGCCGCTGTGCCGCAGGCGCAGGCGCAGCAGCAGGAGCAGCTCCTCCCCGAGGGCGCCGCCAGCGTCCCCAGCCTCTGCAGCTCCGACCGCGCCGAGGCCATTACCGACGACGGAGCGCCCCGCCACGACGACGACTCCGTCGCCGCCGAGGCCGAGAAAATCAAGGCCGTCCTCGTCAACTACCAGGAAAAGGTCACGCTCATCCCCTTGTTCTCCACGCCGCTGCCGCCGTCCGTGCCGCTGATTGTTGGCTGGTAAGTGGTAACCGCCCGTGCTGAATCTGTTCTGCCGTGCTGTTTCAGTCGGAGGCGGCGTTGCTCGATCTGCTCCGGCGGCTGCAGCAGCTGGAGTTCACGGTGCACACCTTGAAGGTGAGAGACGCGACATCCACAGAGAGCTCCGTTGATCGATTTGCCATGCTTATTTCCTTCTTTGTATTGGCTGGTGCTCACGCGGATTCGTCCTCATAGGTCACTGCGATTGGGAAGACCGTGGGCACCCTCCGGAAGCACAACTCCAAGCAGATTCGGCACCTCGTACGGTTGCTCATCGGGTATGTATCCCCATGTTTTTCTTGGTCCAAACCATTTCCAGAAAATTATTTTCTACCGTACTTCTGTATCTCCATTAGCTATCCATGCCCATTTTTATTGTAGTAACATTCTTTGGCATGTTTCGTGTGAATCGCAGGGGTTGGAAGAGTATAGTTGACGAATGGATGAGCAATGGAGGCAGCGGAGATGCCATTGTTGGTAAGTAGCGATCAAAATAGTTCATCATATTTCAAGTTTTTACTTAAGTAATGCTTGCCTTGTAGGCTTGTACTATAAGCTAGTTATGTGCTACTACTTCATTAGCTGATTAATTGTCTCTTCTGCAAACAATTCGCAGATCACACCCCTCAGTCCATGCATCCGTCTAGTCTGGAGCAGGAAGACCGAGGAATGTCATCTCCTTCCGTGGACGAGGGGGCACTCTTCGCCACACCGAGTACTTCCATCCGACTCTCGGAGGTAATTGATTTTACCTAGAAATTAACCGCTCTGCAGCTTATGGGGTCCATGGTATGATCTGACACAATTCCATCTGGAATTTCTCAGGATAACCAGGGCTCTAGGATGTTTGATGGAATGGATGATGCTGGAAGTGAGTGACATCTTAACCCTCTTTGATCCCCTCTGTGATTGTTCTTTGCCAGGGACTAGCGTTTGACATGTTGATTGTTTTGTGAATTATCAACAGATACAAGGAACAGTGTACAGCGGCATCCGGGGAGCCAAGAACCAATTAGAAGGCCGCCGCAGCCAGTGGCCCAGCAGTATGACCCTGACCAGAGCTGGAGGCAAGAACAATCTGCAGCAAGGCAATCACGGCCGCAAGAACTGGCCAATGGGCAAACGAGAGAGCAATTCATTGCGGCCATGCTGGCGAAGCCCCCAAATGCTGAGTCGGGTCGTGGGAGACCTCAAGTGAGGCCTAAGCAGCAGCAAGGTGCCTCGCCCGCTCAAGGGAGACCGCAACCGGTGCCATCTGATGTGAGCATATTGCACCTCGAACAAAATACTATTTGTGGTTGTTTTATTCATACTAATCCTAAATTCTGTGCCTGCCCTGTAGAAACCGGCGGGCAACCCTGATGCGAACTCGCTTCGAGCAAAGCTAGATCTCGCCAAGAATGCAAAGTTGGAACTGGCAACTAACTCCAAGCTAGAGATGACAAAGCGAAAGCTTCAGGAAGGGTACCAAGAATTCGATAATGGTATGTGTTTGACCATGAAATTTTGGGTTTGTTATTACCTGTGGCAACATCACATCATTGCTGGCTGTAAATTATGGCTTGAACTGCTCTGATTGCCTTTTAGCTTAGATTATAGCCAAACAGTTAAATATTAATCGAGCTAATTTTGCCAATGAGCATAACAGTGTACTAATTTTTGATTTGTCATTGCAGCAAAGAAGCAGAGGACTGTACAGATGGTGGATCCGCAAGATATAAAGAAGCAAGGGAACCGGGCCTGGCAGCCGAACGCCAAGCCGAGGAACAACAACAGCAGCAGCAACACCAACAACAACCGGAATTGGTCGTCGAAATGAGTTTCCAATTCCATCATCCACCATTAGAAAAAATACCTTGGTTTCATTCCCGCCCTCGGTCGTTGGCGGCGGCGTAAGTTGTTTAGCCCAGCCCAGCCCAGCCCGGTACATAACATCAGCAATAAGGCTTCCCTGCCGTCCTTGCGAAACTGTGTCGTGTCTGACTTTTTTTTTGCCCTTGATGATGGTGGCTGGCTCGCCATTATAGTGTCCGTCAAAACCTGTAAAGATGAGACGAGTCTGTTGTGGTACTAATCGATGGTGTTTTTGCTTCCTCGGACGGAACGCAAGCGGTTCATCGGAGTTGCCGGATGGCATGATCGTGTCCTCTGCTTGCCTTGTCGCAGCTGCAGCGGTCCTGCTTCGCCTTTCAGGCCGAGAGGCCTTTTGGGGTTGCAGTGTCTTGCCCTGAGCATCTTGTCCTCCCCGCACTGCAAATACTCCTACTTGGACTACTGCAAAATTTTCTTGTGCGCAAATGTGAAATGTGCATGGCTAGCAGTGATTTTCTCGAGGCAATTTTTACTTCCAAAAGTGGTGCCATTGCCCATTAGGGCAGATTTGCTCCATTTTTTGTTTGAAAAAAAAATGCTCAAAATTTTATTTTAAGGTTCGCCCCCCATTTGGTAGGGCACCCGCCCACCGGGCTTTGTTGACCAACATAGTAGGTGCCCTTTTTCAAATGGCGAAAGGATCATTCCATGCCTGGTCCGGAATGAGATGAGTGACCTACAAGTGTTGAACGGAATCGGTCAGTCAGTTGGGATGGATTCCCAAAGCCAACAGGGGCAGGCCAGCTTTGTGTGAACGCCCTAAACTAGGGGGCCGCCGCTTTGAATTTTAGGGTTTGTTTCTTCTTATATTTTTGATTAAAAAACATACACTTTGAATTTTAGGGTTCGTTTCTTCTTCTATTTTTGATTAAAAAACAAACACACACACGAACAGACCGATCATTCACTGCCCATGAATGGTTCGTGCTCTGGCATTGAGCCCGGAGCCGTGGCATCTCCTGCACGAATGAGAATGACCCGCGAGGGGCGACGCCGGTGCCACTGACGCGTGGGTCCCGGCGGATCGGCGGCTGCATGGCCCCTACTTCGCAGCGTGACCGCCGCCCGGCCGTCCCGTGCCGCGTCGGGTGCCCCGCCAATGGGCCGTTTAAATATGGAGGGAAAGGAAAGCATTGGCCCCTCCCGACTCGGGACTAGTACCACCAGTACGCACTTGCGGCGCGGCTAGCGGGATCCTCTGCGGCCTAACACTCTCTGGCACCCACTGAGCTCCCTACACATGACCTGAGATTCTTCTTTCTGCTTTTTGATTTTCTTTTTTAATCTCTTCTGTGCTTTTTTCTTTCCTTTCCTATATTGTCAAAAAGGTGAAACTTTGCAGCCGTCCATGCTGTATAAAAATCACTAGTCAAATCTCCGGTGCCCTTGAAAGTGGACACGGATGTGTTTCGTCGCGTACACCGTGCACTTTCGAAAACGTCTGCTGATGATGGTATACTAACAGGCACGTACAGTATTATTCTAGTCTTGGTTTTGTCGGGAGAAAAACAAGATTGTTAATGATCTTAAGAATGCACTTGCGCCGCCTAAAAGACGGGTTCCCCTTTTGAATAACATGAGCACCACGCAATCAAAATTGTGAGTCGCCAAATTTATGTTTCGTGTATTGCAATTTGTTGAGAAACCCATCCATCAGGTTGTACAATAAAATAGTGCCGGAGTTGTCAAGCTTGAAACAACCTCCACAATTATCAATGTAATCCACAAGTAGAAAGTACTATAATTTGCTAATAAAAGTTCGCATTGTACATTATTTTCTCAGGCCACGGTATTGCGGTCCATCCGAAAACGTCTACCATTACTAGCACCGCTATGGCGGTAATATTATTCCAATGTTTGGTAATAATAATATTGGGAGAGCAGAATATATTTTTATAAACTTGAAATTTGACTTTTAATCATGTAAAGACGGCAATATTCTGTTTTGAATGGCACACAGACTACACACTCGTAATTTCAATCACGTGGTCACTGATTGAAGCATGCTAGAGAAAGTCATATCTTGCACTCACTCCGATCCATATTAGTTGTATAATTTTAGTAAATTTTGGTACCCCCTTTGAGTAATATTAATTGCCGCTTGTTTAGTATTATACTAAATCAGCGATAATTAATCTGATTTAGTATTATACTAAATTAGCGGCAATTAATATTGATAGAAGGGAGTATCAAAATTTATCTTTTTCCTAGAATCAAGGGGGAGGGAGGGGGGGGGGGTCCCTACCTGAATATAGTACTCAGAGTTGCCAATATTCCAGAGGAGTGATCCAATTTATAAGGAGAATCAAATCGAAAATCTTAACAAGTTGGCTCATTTATGCGGAAAATCAGGCCGAAAACCATACGTGCAACAAGGGAAAGGAAGATTACTCGCCATCCGTCGAAGCGTTGATGGTGGACACAGATGTGTTCCGTCGCGTACGTCGCCTCGCCGTGCACTTTCGAAAACGTCTACTACTATTGCTGCTGGTGCGGTGACGATATTATTCTAGTTTTGCATTGTCAGGAGGAAAAACATACTTAATGGTCTTAAGAATGCACTTGCGCCGCCTAAAGAGGGGTTCCCCTTTTGAATAACACGAGCACTACACAATCAAGATTTTTGTGAGTCGCCGAATTTATGTTCTGTATATGGCAAGCAAGTGAGAAACCCATCGGAAGGTTGTACAATAAAATAGCACCGGAGTTGCCAAGCTTGAAGCAGCCTCCACAAATTTTTTTTTTGGAAAGCAACCTCCACAATTCAATGTAATCCACAAGTAGAAAGTATAATTTGCTATTAATAAAGGTCCACATTGTACATTATTCTCCCAGGCCACAGTATGCCACAGTATTGCGGTCCATCCAAAAACGTCTACCATTACTATTACTGATATGGCGGTAATATAGTTCCCGTGTTTGGTAATAATAACATTGGGAAAGCAGGATATATTTTTATAAACTTGAAAATTGACTTCTCATCGTGTAAAGATGGTAGTATTCGGTTTTGAGTGGCACGCGGACTAGACAAATCATAATTTCAATCATGTCGTCACTGATTGGAACACACTGAAGAAATTCATAACTCCTACTCCATCCGATCTATATTAATTATCGCTAATTTTGTACAATTTTATAATAATCAATCAGTGATAATTAGTATTGATTAAAATAATACTCCCTCCGTAAAGAAATATAAAAACGTTTAGATCACTATTTAGCGAAATTTACGGAGAGAGTACTATTTCTTTATGGAGGGAGTAGCGAAATTTACCTTCTCTATCTCAAGCTGACCAGGTTCAACACTAAAATAGCACTCCCTCCGTTTTTATTTACGCGGCATATCAAATTTCGTAAAGTTTGACCAAATTTATAGAAAGAATATAAACATTTACATTAACAAATCTATATGACGTGAAAGTATATTCAATAATGAATCTAATGATATTGATTTTTTATTGTATATGTTAATATTTTTATTTATAAACTTTGTCAAAGTTTACAAAGCTTGACTTCGACAAAAGCTTATACGCGGATTAAATAAAAACGGAGAAAGTACTATACTCCAGTAGGGTTAAGCCAGAAGCAACCTCCAGAATCCATTTAAATTCACAGGTTGAATATGCCCCGTATTTTTCCATTAAAAAAGGGTCCACATTCCACAATATTTTATGCGAGGTCCAAGCAGCACCAATGACAAGGCAACCGTGCCCGTGCGGTCCATCCAGAGCTAGCTATGCTCCTCCAACCGAATAATCATTGCGCCTATCGCAATCCAATCCAGCCCGATCTACCCCATTGATCTTATAGTTTACTCATCAGAGATCCAATCCCATTATGAAATTGCGCGGTGAAGTATTGTTTCTTCAGATCGGCGGTTTCGCGTCGTGATCAGCCGGGATTAATATACGGCACCAGCGCAGGTTGTGCAGATTGTCGCCGAGCCGCTGCTGAGCGGAACGGGGGCAGGGACGTCGGCAGAGGCGGGACTGAAGGGGACACGTCGGCAACCGCGACGGCGAGGTGTTCTGCTTCTTGGCCTGACGGGGACGGGGACACGGACACCGTACTCATTCCCCGCGGAGGCGGCCGGTGATCCTGTCGCGCGCCTCCCGCCGGCGACACCTCTGACAGCCGTGTTCCTCTCCTTTTTTGCCGGTTTAGCATGATGGGATCAGCCTGAGAACCGCACGTGACCGGCCAAGTTGATCTTAGAGATTACCCATTTTGCTACTGCTAAATTCATCTGTTAACGATGGTAGTATCTGAGATGCACGGCGTTGCTAGGGAAAAGACGGCTGAATATGTTTGATGTGTTGACGCATCTTGGTTGTTTGTACGGCTGTGGATAGATGGAGGGGGGCGAGTGGCATGTGGTCCACCAGAGTTAGTTGATCCGCCATCGCTCCAACGAATTGTGCCAAACGCATATGCCTCCTTGGGCGCTTTAGAACAACTTTAACAAACCCTGCAAAACACGGTAAAACCTAAAATTCCGACAAGTATACGGGCTCGGCATAATTTTCCGGTTAAAACAAAGCCCGCATATTTGCTCGGCACGTAATTTTTTTTGATGCGGCCCGCAAACCGCACGCCCCGACCACTATATCTACGGTTCTGCGGCGCGTTTGCGGGTCCAAACCCTATCCACGCTGCCGCCGGTCCACGCAATTCCCCACCCCCTTCTCCACATTTCTCGCCGCCGGAGACCACCTCCCCCCGCCTCCAGCCGCCATGTGGGGCCGCATGTGTAGCTCCGCATGCGGCTCCGGCAGCAGATCTGGTCGGACGGCGCGAGGAAGCTTGGCCCGGAAGTGGACCAACCACGACCAGTCGCCGCCGGCGAGCTTCCGTGTCCGCGAGAGGGAGGAGTACGACCGCCGACGAGCGTCCATCTCCTCCGCGGCGAGATCTCCCTACGCTGGGAACTCCTCCTCTTCCAGTGCG